GTGTGAAGCCAAGCTTTTCAGTTCCTTTTTGAGAAACCTGGCAAGAGGTAAGCCATGGGCTGAGCCTAAATCCTCTTAAGATCCTACTCCTCTGTGTTGACGAAGTCTGAATAATGAGATTTCCCCATCAGTCCAGAAGGAGGATTGCACAAGTGTGTGTGTGTGTGTGTGTGCGTGTGTGTGCGTGCCGTCAGGAGCTCACACTTGAAATAACGATCAGCAGAAAGCTGCAATGATAAATGCAAAGTTCAAATTTTAGGACTTCGTGGAAAGGAGTGGTTAATGTCACGAGCTTGCTAATAACGGAGCATTGGACGGCCCAGCCACGGAAGAACACGTTTTGAGGCCGGAAAATGCAAACACATCAAGCTAAGGGCAGGATCTGCCGTCGTTCAGAGCTGCCAAGGCTGAAGAAGAGTTGCAGAAGTAGCAGGCTTCTGATTCAAATTGCTTTGACATTCATTCGGCACATGAGACCCTACCTATCCGACATTGTTTTGGAGATTCAGCCTTCAAAATGCTCGTTTGTTCAGTTCCTGCCCTGCTATTTCAGACCTCTCGAAGTGTTTGCTGTATGCTTCAGTTGGGGACCCAACAAGCCATATTTCACCTGTGACCAAGAAGTCATACAAGAAAGATCCATCCAGAACAGGGGGATGATTTATACGTCAAAGCCACGCTTGAAACCCGCACGGAGGAGATCGTGTCCTCAACGTCGGGTGAAGACGCGAGCGTCCACACACGGAAACGAGTCCCTTGGGCTGGCCTGCGCTCGCTTGTGTTATTTCTATGTTGCTAGGAACATTAGTACTGACATGGATGGTAACGCAGTGTAACACAGATGACGCCGCGTGACTAAGAAAGTCGCAATGAGAAAGGTTAGGTCACAACTTGGGAGTGATCAAGTGAGCAAACACACACGGCCGTACCGCAGTCAAGCAACATGCTGTTTAGGAGTCTTTCACACTGCGAACATTTATTTCGCAAAAGCAAATCCACCAGAAATTCGAACCCCGGCCTGGCCGAACAATGCTTCACAAGCTCCAACTCCCACAACGCAATGTGCAGAAATGCTTCAGAGCAGCAACACCTGACAAAGCCTGAAGCCTGCAGTTCCAATACAAATGGCTTTGGACATGCTTGCTGGGGGATTTCCTCCGAACCATCTCCACATCTCCAGAGTGGCTCGACTGCTGCAGCCTTGAGGAACGTGAACGCTTGCCTGCAAAAGCTGCAAGAGCAAGAGTTTTTCCAACCAGAACGGCTCGGACTGATCGCGAGGCGGGAGTTCATGAACCTGAAAGTGAGCATTCTTGAAGTCCCTAGTTCCCTTGGAGGCGCCTACAAAGGCAAGCGCGATGAAAAGTAATCAATACAGAAGTCTTCCACGGCAAGGCCGGGGTGCGCTGGAGCTTTATGATCTGGAAGTGCACTCCACAAGTCGTGCAAACGTGGAAGAAGAGTTCTGATGTAGCATGATGTAGCTAAAAGTAGCCTTCCTGAATCAATCTAGCCATTTCTTAAGAATCCCGCGTCTAGCTTGCTTCGACAACAAGTAAAACCTCTGGCCTGAGCCTCTTCAAGGATAAGTGCGTCCGTAAAATGGCCAGACAACAAAGATGGAAGCGCTGATGGGAGGAATGGGGAAATCAGGGCAAGCTTTGGAAGACGACTTCCTGTTGTTTAAAGGGCTGTGACCTCCTAAAACTTGGCTGCATTGCTTGCACACTGAAGCGCAACTTCCAGTGCCCGTACAGTATTCCATAAAGTGTTTGTAGATCAGTTTGATGGAATGCCGTTCGACTGAGCCTTCGATAAGCGAGCAAACTTATGACATGCTTCATTTCCACACAGGCGCTCGCGTCGATCTTTGCGATGACTTGCCTTTTAGCATAAGATGCATCATATGAACAAGTCTTGGCAAGCGTTAAAGCTCTTCTGACAGGGCTCTCCTGGTCCAATCCCAGACGCAGACTTTTGCTTTGCAGCATGCAGTTCGGCAGGTCTTGTGTAAAGAGCCACTAAGTCACTAGGGGTGCTTCCAGGGTGTAGAATGCTGCTGAGTCTGCCAAGCTTTTCTGCAGCCTCCATTCAAAACTTGCAATTACTCCTTGGAAGCTTTTCGTACCCAAGCAAAGTAAGACTTAAACTGCTAAGTCCTGTTGACATTAAGGACTCCCATGCAAAACAGTTTTGGAATCCTCCTGATTACCCACACGAGAGAAAGTCGTGCATGGAATCCACACAGCTGAGCATTATCCCAAACCGTGGACTTGGCAGGCATCATACGCCTGGACGCTCTGCTCCCTTACCGCAAGTTCTTCAGCAACTGCTTCCGCGACGGATGCACGACTTTCAGGGTGATTGACCAATTTGTTTTCAGTCGGATTCTGGAGAATACTTTATAAATCTTTATAATATGGGGTGAACGAGGGGGTGCATATGCGGAGCCATCCGCGTGATTGTAAGTATGTTCTTGGGACTTGAGTACCCCCTGAAGCCCCCTCACATCAGAACCGGGCTCCAGCTAACAAGGCAGTTTGCTGCACATGTTCCCCCCTGCATGATCGCGTTGATGCGGTCGATGCTGGTGCTCTCTAGCATGGTTGATTGTGGGGATGTGGGGGTTGCTTGGTATGAATATCTGATGCACTGCTACTTTCTCACGCGTCTTTTCTGCAAAGGGTATAGCTTACGATGGGCCTTCTTGGTTTTTTATGTCATGAGCTTGTTTGGTAATCTTTGCTGCACTTAGCAGGATGAAATCCAGGCCAGGGCAGGCTGTTGCAAACTAAATCCTGTGCCTTTGGCGGGGCGAGTGGCTAACAGCGCGTGGCAAGTATATGTGTATGCGTGTGGTCAGGCGGTGTCATTTTCGGCTTTTTTGTGCTCGGAGTGGTTCGCGGTCTTTGCTGGGCTTGTTGCCTGGCGCCAGGTGGCACTGACACGAAAGAGTCAAAGGACGAACCCCACAATAAGAAAAAACAGCATCGGAACGACAAATTGGAAAAAAATGAGGGCGCAAGCTCAGTAGAAAAAACATCGAGAAGCATGTTTGAAAATGAAATTTTAGCTTTTTACGCTCATACTTGTTCCCCAATGCCACAGGACTGCGTTGGCCTCAGATTTTGCATTTTGGGTGTGATCTTTGTGTGAAAGCTTCTAAGGACGGAGGCTGGCTCAATTGGTAGAGGAGCTGATCAGCGGCCGCTGGCCAGTTCTGGACACCGAGTTCCTTCGGTTGCGCTGCGTCCTTGTGGACGGCAGGCGGGATGCCACAACACGCTTTGCACATGCAATTGAGTCATAACGGCGGTTTTGTGCGCGTTGTTTCTATGTGCTGGGGCCGCTAGGCCGCTAGGCAGGGTGAGAGCTGAAGAAGAGGACTGGAACCTGGTGATCGATTCGACAGTGGAAATCAAAGCATGTCATGACATATTCGGGAAACGCTGTCAACATCCACAAATTTGGTTCGGAGAGTCCATGAGAGGGTTGCGCCGCAGAGCTTTGGATGGGGGCTGAAAACTTTCAAAAAGTCTTCCAGTGGCTATGCAGCTCTTCGACTTAGAATTGGAACTTCCCCCGAAATCCCCCAAAATTATGGCCTCCCGATATTCTTCTGCATTTGCCGGCGCACCAAAAAAAACTGCTTAGTCTGGGGTTGGCCGTCGGCTTGCGAGGCTCTTCTGCAGGGATGTCCATCGTCTTTGGTGCCTCAAGGACCCGAGGGGAAGGGGAGGGATTATAACATAGTAGTTTCCATTTTCTTTTCCATTATCCCTATATAACGACAAGAATATACCAAATATTCTGTTTACTTCAGAATATGTCACATGCGTGTTGGGTGCCACCGTCTCTTGGCTTCTCGGCAAGGCATGTTACCGGCATGTGGTGGCATGATGCACACCTAATGTTATCCCTTTTGTCAGCCTCAGCAGGAATAGGCCAAGGGCAGGCAACCCAAAGCTGATGTTGGAAGTCCTGACAGGCCTATCAAGATCATCTGCAGGACATAGTTTGTCGGCTGCATTGGGTTATGAAACAAATCTGGCCCCACTCACAAGGTCGCGAGAATTTGTTGAGTCCTTGCTGGCAAGCTGTAGTCCTCCGCAGCCCGAAATTTCTTCGCCTTGAGCATTACGCGTTTGCAACATCAGTTTCGACCCCATGTGCATTGTCCAGATGTGCAGGCCTAATTTCATTTGGCAAAGCTTCCGAAGTACTACAGTTTCTTTGCATCAGGAACTGCAAAAATGATAATAGCAACTGCTGCAAGTTGATCATCATTATGGCCACTACCACAGCAAAACCACAGCTCAGGTTTTTGTCAACGTGAACATCAGTTCGGCTTTTGGGCAGCATGAAGCCTGATTTGGGTCGAATGTGCATAAGCCGGAGGGCATTCTGAATAATGGGATCGCCGCTCATTATTTGGGCGTGTAGAAGATACCTCCTTTCGAGACATGGCTGCAGACATGGGCTGCATCTCAAATCTCAAGTATCTACAGCGCCGGATACTGATTACCAAAGTCGTCGATTGCTGTGCACTGCTCGGCTATTTCATGAGAGTGCTCGTAAGACTGCCAACCCACTCGAGAAGGGAAGCAATTCATCCTGAATCCCAAGACGCGGATGCACTGTGGGAATTGGAATGTTTACTATCTAAAGTTTCGCGGGTACCCGACCGCTAGACCTGACAGCAGGGCGAGAGGACTCAGCCCCTGCGTGCTCCGAGGGCGTGCACGCAGCCCGTAGAACAAGAAGAAGAAAGCGCCTCACACCTTCCCTCAGCAGCCCAGAGGTTCATTGTCCCAACTGCGGCTTTGCCCAATATGTACAATTACGACATGCAAAGCGAAGATGGAGCAGCTGCTACCATACCTAGAGCCTGACATGCGCCGTCCCTTGGCATGTCTGAATGTCAAGAGTACACATCTTACAGTGGACAGCTCTTGAGTTTACAAGCCTGTCAGGTACCCGTGATTCATGTGATAGTTGCTGGCAGGCTTCTGAAAGAAGAGCAGCAGAACATACTAGAATTACTAGAACAGCCTGGTCCAGAACGTTTGTGCATGCACGCTCGAAGGACCCCTATGAGCCAATCCTACAGGAAAAGAAAGCAACTCGCATCCGACGGCGCCGCAGAAAACGCTCCAGCGATCTTGAGCAAGATGCCACGACAGGCATTCGGAGACCAGGTGGGGTTGGCTGCGTTGAGATTCGGGGGATGCCTTCAGTTCTGTCGCTGTCGGACCAACGGGCTTTTGGATACCTTCCACGCAAGAGCCATTGTTGATCGTTGTCCGAAGAATTCTCTTAGCGTGTGGCTTTAATCCTGTGCATAACTTGCTTGTTCAGCGCAAGCCATCGGTAGAGGCCGAAGCGGTTGTGTGCGCAGCGAATCCAGGAGCTCCACTGTGGCCAGAATATGATCGTTAGCTGTGAATCTCTTCAAAGGCAGGCCTCATGAGGCGCCCAGCCTTCAGATATAAGCGAAAGCTCCGAGCCTGGGCCCTGAAGGGTTCTGTTAAAAGTTAAAAGCCTAGACACCCTGTGTGCCAGGTGGGAGGCAGAGGAGACAGGACCGGCGAATAAGGGTTTCAGATTCCAGGCCAAGTTTATTGGGGGGAAAAGGCGCTGCATATTGCTGCATGTTCTGGAGGCAAAAAGCGATACCCCCAGATCTTGCTGGCCGCTTCACCAAGTTGGCAGTCACATCCCAGCCAGAACCACCGTACGTTTGAAACAGCCTTTGGCCACTGCCTCCCTGGTCGTGGATCAACGTGCAATCAAGACGTAATTTTGTTGCGAGTTCTCTTGAGGCCAGGGCGGCCCATTGAAGGCTTGAAAGACGTTCCCCCACAGTTGCGTAGAGCTCTAGATTCTAGACTCCAAACGCTGTGGACAAGGGTGTGTGCCTGGGTGCCTGGGTGCATTTGTTTATGCACCGTTTTGTCAAGCCTGGACGTGTAATGAGGAGACAGCACAGAAGGATGATGTTATCGTGGTGGACGAAAAGATGCTCAGCTGCAGCGCCGCCTCTTCCCAAATGAGGCCACGCCCGCACACTGCCTTCCGCCCCCCTACAAGACACACACTCAGACGGCAATAGCAAAGAAATGAGAGCACACGGTAGGACGTGGAAGTACAGTTGGCACGCTGCTAAGGTAGACTTGAAATACATTCTGTCAGGAAGGCAGCGAAGCGTGCAAAAGAAACGCAGTCACGAGCCATGAAAGATCCTGACGGATGGAAGCCCATGCTGCATTTGCGCGGCGGTCCGACGCGGCCTTGAGGTCTGAAGCACTAGTCCCAACATGTTGGTACTCGGAGCAGTCATTTCAGCAAAGCAACTCTTGACTCAGACCTGTGGCACGTCATGTTGTTTGCTAGGTAATTAGGCAGCAGCCTTGCCACATGGCAGGGCTTGATACGGCTTTTTTGGTGACGTTTGAAGACGGTGGCTTTGTAACCTTTGGCCACGAGCAGTGCTTGTGTTTTGGTGCTTGGCGGCTTTGCGGCTTCTCTTCACACACCGGGCTTGGGCTCGGTGAACTCCCAGAGGTCCCACCCAGGACCTAGCGCATTCTACTTGGAGGCCTCGCTTCTGAGTCTAAGCTTTTGATTCATAGTATATGTGCGGCTGTATGCCGGGTATGTCCAAGCTGGGAACCGTCATGTCGTGCCGTCACCATCGCTGCCTCCCATTGGGGGTTGTGCTGCTCACACCCGACGAACAGCATCAGCACCAGGAGGGGCTGGCAGGTACACCCGTAGTGTCCCGTAGTGACAGTAAGACCGCTGAACCCAAAGCGCACGGAATCAAGTGAGCTCTAGCGCCGAATGCCAAGCCATGGTATCTTTAACTGCGGCGAATTATGTTCCCCAGCCTGTCAAAGCTAGTCTTGAAGGGAGGCAGGGTAGCAGATTCGTGAAGCTTCTCAACCTGCTATAGGGCTTTATAAAGCGTTAAGATCATTTTGATTATTGGACGACCCAGCAGCCTGGCACTGATGCCTCGAAGGTGGATGATAAACACCTCAACAAAGCGATCCAAGCAAAGCTTGCAAGCCCAAGCGGGGCAGAACTATGCATTCCCTTGAAGAGCTGAAGAGCTTGCTGTTCAAGGGCCGAAGCTTGTCGGAGGCTTGACGCTGTGGAGGTTAATTCATGATATCCTTCCCTGACGCTGCTTTAGTACAGCGCTGAAATTTTAATGCCTGGGTTCCAGTTTGTAGGCAGGTAGCTGCCCTTAGCTGCCAAAGACTAAGCAGAACGAGCCTTGCACTACTATGAATGGGAGCACAGCGACCATGCAGGCGAAGCTTCAAAAAATAATCAATGATTCGTGGCAACGTTTTGAACACGGCTTTCACCCTTTATTGTTTTGCATTTTACCGAGTGGGCTGGTCAGGATGTGCCGGGCTGGGACAGGGCTCACTCCCCAGAGAACTTGAAGAGCCGCCTACGGGGACTGGCGGGGTCTCGCCTGCATCATGCCGGTCTTCGGGCATCTCAAAATCATCATCGCTTGCGTCAGCCTCAACATCTAGAAATGGAAATTGTAAAGGTATACATGCACGTATTATACGGGACCAGGCGTCAACATCCTGCATGCAGAACTTGAAACTTGAAAACTAAAGAGTTACCGGTTCTTATCCCAAATGTAGACCCGTTAATGTAAAACAACATTCACCCCAAGATCCTTTGCTACTAGAATCTCGAAAGTCTGATGGAAGTAGAGGTATTCGAAATGATCGATTTCTTTTTGAGGCGCGTTTCATGTAGTGAAAGTAGAGGTGGGGCTCAGCTTCGCTAGTTTTGGCATCTACCACATGCAAGGCCAAAAGAGTCAACGGATATCCTAGAGCTTCAGCCAGTGCTGGGCGTTGACAAGATTACTGCGCAGAGGCTGCGCCTTTTCAGCCAGCACCAGGTCCACAGGAGCTTTCCTAAAACTCATGTTGGTACACAGGCATCCTAGTTATGCGTCATGTGCCGTTGCATGCCTCCTCACGCACGGAGGCCTTTACCAAAATTTTGCACAGCTGGCAGACAGAAATCATGCTTCGAGGGCTTTATTATTCAGCCCCGGAAGAAGAACCTCTCACTGTAGGCCTCTCCATGAATTTCTTGGCAGTCGGCGTTGTTGCCTCCCGAAACCTGCAGTAGACCATCTGCCCAGCTTTGCAAGTCGCACAGGAAAAGTCTGCACGTGTTGCACTATGCTCTTCTCCGCGGCTTCAGTCTTCAAGCTTACCCCGAGTTCGTTGCTGGTTGTTACAGCCCACTTCAAAAAGCACACGTGACAGTAAGAATTCATGAAAGTGCCCAGGCCAGAGCCCCATGTTTTGATTTGAAGACTGCCTGCAGCTCCTTGATAGTCGCCGCGTGAGCGCTGACAAAGCCATGTCGTGGCAGACCAATATGGCGCGGAAACCCCGTGCACCATCCCATCCATCAGAACTGAGTCTCTCGATTCAACGCAGTGGGAAGCAGCTTGTGTGCACGTCGCTTTGCATTCTGTATGGCACTTTGCTCTCCATTTTTCCTTGGCTGAGTGTTTGGCCTGCCCGGTAGTTTGCTGTTGCGCTTGGCAAAACCGTTACTTCCTGATGGTCAGGTGCCCTCATGGCCATGGATCCAACCACGAATCCCGCGGATTACTGGCGTGGTAAGTACGGCTGGGATCGTGAGGCCGGCCCGTATGAGATAGGTTGGCAAAACACGGAGCCCTTGGTTGGGGTTCGCGTTGCTGTATCTCTGAGCTTCAGGCAATAGTGGATGACCTGCGCATGCTCTGCCGGCCAAGCTTCCCCCCACAACCTGAAAGAGATGGATCCTTTGCCGGTTTGATCGCCGCTGTGCGCACCCCGGCAGCAAGTTGGATGTCCGTTTAATGTAGCCGCATCTCAGCCCTTTGCTTTTTTTGCTAATGGTTGCAACCCGGTGCGTTGGCTTCCTTTGATTTTCAAGTCGGACAACTTTGTACATGCAAGGTGGATATGCATTAGCCAGCCATGTTTATGGCATAGACATGTCAGATTCTGATTTTAAGGTGCAAAGCAAAACGCGCAGACACAAGCGAACCCTGACGGCGGGATTTGTGTTGGAAAGTTACATGGAGTCCATGCGCTTTGGCACAGAGAGTTTTCAACATGAAAATGTGCAGGTGCCGGTGGGGCGCCGGCAACTGGCCAGCCTGAGATAAGCAAGGGCCTGAAGTGTCGGCTAAGCTTGCTAAGCGGTTGATCATGTGAAACAAAGTTGGCAGGTCGCAACAGAGGACGCCAACCTGAACAAGGCAATGGAACCACAGTTCATAGACATTGCGAGGTGAAATATGTTTTAGCATGCAGCTTGTCCTGTCCCTTTGCCGGCACTACGTTGAATTGCTTCTCCCTGAGCGCCAGCTGCATTTCTGACCTGCATGGCTGCAGGTGCTGCAAGCAGAGATACGCTGCACCCGCAGACAGGCTCTTCTGACGGCAGCAAGCCCATTCAGAATCCGAAGGCCTGAAAGAGAAGTTCTTTGGCACCCAATCACAAGTTGTATCACTGTCTCTGGTGAGGTATTGCCCAAACAGTTGCCGGACAAAGACAACGAAGGTCGGCCGTACCACACAAAGATTGTTGTGGTCAATTTCAACAATGTCTCAGCCTCAGGCCATGCATAACATGGCGCAGGCATTCCCACATGCAAACATCCAGAGACAGGTTGGCACGACCTTTGGCAAGATGTTCGGCAAAAACAGGGAACCAGCCTTCGACTGGGAAGGGGTTCGGCGATGTGCCCCTTGCTTTCTATCATCAGGCTGTGTGTGCGAGCTTTGAGCCTCCGCATCTGTTCTTTGTTGAAGGTCCAAGAGCTGGCAAAAAGAGGGTACAAGATCATCGGCGTAATTTATCAGAATTGGATCGGCTGGGATGGCGATGAGAAGGTGAATGGCGTCCCAGAGGACATGTATTTGCTTGCATTTGTTTAGTCCCGTTCTCTGGCTTCGCAGCTCTTCTGCAACTTGCTTGCTGACGGAACCAATCGCTCTGCAGTTCTTCGTTGAAAGCAGACAGCATTGCGTTCATCCAGGGTTGTGATTGTCATGACTATTACTACTGTCTCTATTTCTATTATTGCTAGTATTGCTAACCCGGGCATTCCGGCGTTTTGGATGGCAAGCCCAAGAGCAACGCCTGCTGCTTGAGCAGACGCAGGCTTCTACAGCCTTGAAATCAGTGTTTCCCAAAATGAGGTATCCGTTCTTGGGGTCTCTATAATAAGGATTAGAGTATTTCGGGGTCTATATGGAGGGGGGGGGTCCCCTATTTGGAGAGACTACCCAATCTGCATGCGACGACACCTTAGCTTCTTAGGAATGTTGATCGCATCTGTGTTTTGTTGTTTAATGTCTGTGTTCTTCTGCCCCTTTTTCATGACTTTATCCAGTGAGTGCTTCAAACTCTGCACCAGCTTTAGATAGAACCCCAATATATACCCTGTTAGTTATATTCTAGTAGCTTCCATTTCATTTTCCATTATCCCAAGATACCCCCAATGTAACAAACGTGTCAGATCAGACCTGCGAGGACATTGTTTCCCAATGCGAGTCTATACAGCAGACTCCAAGAATAGCCGGCGAGAACCAAAGGAGATGTCTCTCGGCTGCTGTCACAAATTGGTGCTTGCCTTGCTTTCGCAGGAGCGCTGATGATGAGATGACCATCAAGTGTGCTTACCACAGAAATTGTTGCCTTCTTGACAACGATAACTACAAGGACAGCTGTTTCTGCGACAAGGATTGTGCCTGCCATGAGTTAAGACTCGATCAAGAGAACCATTAACCTGAACACCAAACCCTCAACAATGGATTTGCTGGCCTACTGCTTCGGCCATGCGCGCACTGAAACCCTGAAGTGAACTTGGAGTGGCCTTCGCCTCGCGTGTTGCCAGGACTGGCTTCACACGCTTAGAAAAGTGGAAATACGACACTGGTATTCGTACAGCCAAGACCGTGTTCACATGAAGTATTTCTTTGACTCGCAAGTGGCTTGCCTCGCAGAAGAGGGAAGAGTATGGACGAGTCCTGGCATGGGAACGTTTGTCTCTGAACCTTGCCAGGTCGGCTGCTTTGAAACCTTGGACGGGAATGCGGAGCGCGGGGCCAGTGCAGAGAGGGAGCCCGAGCCGCCCGAGCCGCCACGGATGCCACTGCCGGAACCTCGAGGGCCTGAGCCTGCCCGACCTTCACAGAGCTCGGCACCGGCCGCTTTCCTTTCACAGACATCTTAAGCTTGAAG